TAGCTAGCTAGATGCATGCTGCTGATGCCAGCCAGAGGTACATTGAGATCAAAAAGAAACTGCCTGCTCCTTGACGCAAGGCAGGATAGATAGTGGCTGAATGCCTGTGTTGTGCATTGTTCTACCTCTGTCCTTCAAGACTGTATATAAGCTGGCTGTGAAATAAACTCGGAGCTGTTGGGAATTGACCGGCAGACCTCTTGACTCTTTTCTGTCTCTTCATTGTCTCTTCAATCCGCATGCCTCTACCCAGCTACCCAGCAGGCCCAACAAGTGGTACCCATCGAGGGAGCGGGTACAGAGGAGTCCGTGACAGACACCATAGAAGAAAAAGGAATGCACGCGAAAAAAAGTGGAAGCTGTGGTAAGTTAACTTGAGAGTAAAAGTAGTAAGTGTAAATAAAAAAGCAGATGTGTGGTAAAAAAATCATGAATAAGTGTAAAAATAATTATGGGTCAAGGAAATAGAAAACAGCTGTTTGTACATTTACTTAAAGATATCTTAAAGGCTAGAGGTACTAAAGTAGAACATAAGCAACTGTGTAATTTTTAGAATTTGTAGAACATATTGGAGTTAAGATACAGCAGTATTATGATAAGCATTGTCCAGAAAAACTTACAACAGACATTTTCAGTCTCTAGACACTCATTCAGGACAACTTAGACCTTCGTCCTGAAAGGCATAAAGTGTTTCCTGAACTAAGTAAAACTAAAACTAAACATTCTGCTCTGTCAGAGAGATGGATTTATGCAAATGCTTTTACTAAGTTATTTGATGCTAATGACGTTAGATTTTGGCAATAAGGCAGAATTAGAGGAAGAGGCCGCTAAGTATTATAATGAAGATTCTCTCACACCTCAAGGTTCTCCCCCACCTCCATTCTTGACTATGACTGGTTCATCTGGAGAGATTAAGTGGGTCGTGACCTCAGACTGTTAGACCAATGTCTCACTTTCAGATCTGTTCACTGCAACTGGTAAATGTAAATGTGAGCACTCTTGTCTTGGCCTGTGTTCTGACTGTTACTGTGTTACTGTTCTGTTCCATGTCTAAGGGGACTGAGTCCCCCGACTGAACTGAGATAAGCAGGTAGCTCCTGCCAGATGTGGATGATGTACTGCAAGAAAAGTCACATGATAGATAGGACTCGTTAACAGCAAGTGAGGCCATTGTCTCAGTGCTGATGTAACAGTACTTATGTCTCTGTCAATGTTACTCATTTCTGACTACTAATCTTCTTCATTTCCCTGGAAAAGAGGGAGGGGAAGGCATGGCAAGAGCCTCCTCCCTCTGTCTTGCTATCAGGCCTGCAGGATGAGCGGAGCTGGTCTTGGCCAGCAGGAGAAGCCTGCAGCCAGCCAGCAGCTCTCAGAGGATGAGGGCATGCATTCTTGGAGCAGAAAAGGCAGAGACAGAAGCTGCAGATGAAGTGGCAGGGAGTGCATTCCTACAATTGGCAAGCTGAACAAACATCAAAAAGAGAATCTGACATAATTGTTAATTACTATAGTAAGAAAGGTTAACAATTTTTTTTCAGGAACACTGGCAGCCAAGGACATATTCTGTGCCTACTTTCCTTCCTAAGCCAAGTTCTTCACTGTGATAACGTCAAGGTCTCTTCTGCTGGCCAGCAACTTCCAACTTTAACCCACTTTAACCCTTCTCTGTCCTGATACTGCTTGAAAAAAAAGTTTAATTACCAGCCTGCATACTCTGATGTTTTGAAAAAAAATATGCTTTTGCCTCCACAGGAAAAGAAAAAATACATGGATTCTGGTCATTTGAGTCCAATGGGTTGCAAATACTTGTCATCATTCAAGAGAATTGATTACAGATTTTTATTGATTAAGGTAAGAAAAACTTCTGCTAATCTGAAATGTTTCACATTGATACAGGTTTTTAATATATTAATGCAAAAATAAGTTTTTTGTTATGATATATGCATATATCTATATGTTTCTATTCTTGTTTGAAATGTTATACTTATGCAATGTTCTAAACAGCTAGGAAGAAACCACAAGGAAAAGGACTTTGGTGGAAATCTGCATGTTGTCTGAAAAGCAAGAGAAGGTGAAAGATTGGAATAATGATAGAGGAAAAAAAGGGAATTTGTCTATGTCAGGCTGAACCAGAAGAGCAAACATGCACAAAAGAACTGCGAAAGTCTAACAGAACTTTGTTATGGAGATGATGTACTGGCATTATTCCTTTAAAGTATAACATTACATGGACACAGCAGTATATTCTTGATTGTTCTGGAAATCAGGACAATTATAGTGACTCTTATACAGTGTCTACAGCAGAATCTTGGGACCAAGGACTGTCAGCTAGAATTTGGTATTCTAGTACTGGATCTCCACAAACATCTGTTTGGAAACTTGCTTCTGCAATGTGAACAGTTGCAGGATGTTGCAGTCACTTAAAACCTGTTTGTCAATTGAAAGAAACTGTTTTAGCTTGTGTCAAAATGCCCTATGTTCTTTTAGTTGGCAAATATTTCTATGAATGGTTCTGTGTTTAATGTATCAAGTCTTAATTGCATTTTGACCAATTGTATTTTCCAAATGGATAATCACATTTGTGTAATAGTGTTAAAAATAATTTTCTTTTGTTATATTGCCAGTATATATGAGTGACCCATAATTTGATGATAAAGGGTTACAAGTAATTGAGGAAATCAAGAAATCTTTAAGTAGATAGAATCATGTTGCTGGATTAGTTATATCAGGAATTGCAGCTCTTGTTACTGTGCTTGCTATGACTACTGTTGCTTCAATGCCTTTGGTCAATCCTTCCAGACATCAGGGTTTGTTAATCAATTGTCTATGAATGTTTCTATGACCTTAGAGACTTAAGAAGTTATAGAGTGAAAATGGAACAAATATTGAATGCTTTGTATGATGTGGTACAATTTTTGGGAAATGAACTCCAAAGCCTGAAAACTAGAGTATATTTGAAATGTCATTCTAATTATGAGTAGATTTGTGTTACATCTTCTGTGTATAAGGAAAGTGCTATTGGAATGAAAAGGGTTAAGGCACATCTTAAAGGAATTTGGCATGATTCTAATGAATCCTTAGATTTGGCTAAATTACATCAAGAGATTATAGAAATGAGAAAAGCTAAATTGGATTTTGATGTAGCTAAAACTACAGAAGGAATTTTAGAACAATTTAAATGGGTTATCCCATCATGGTCATCATTTACTTCACTCTTAAGTAGTGTTATAGCTATTGGAGCATGTGTCTTAGTAGGTATAATCTGTTTGCTTATGATTCCCAAGCTGATTTTGAACTCATTATGGAGATTCGGCTTGGAACTCTACAGAGTAAAACTCTGCACATTCCTCTGACTTAACACCAGAGGCTGGTAGCCAAAGACGGGTAAGTTTTCTTGCCTCCTTTCAACCTAAGACAGGACATGAATGATGGAATTCATGTTCCCATGACGGGTAAGATTGGAGTGTGTGTGGTAAGGAAACACCTAAGACAGGCACAATCATCTGAGAGACTCAGTGGAGTCTTAAAATAAATAAAAAAGGAAGACTGACTCAGTTCCCCAGTTTGAATCTGAAGTCCATTCTGAGTCAATAGAGTTCAGGCTTGTTTGCTCCAAGGTTGTGAGAAAGTTCTGATTAGCCCACAGAGTCTCCTTGAAGGGCTGTGAGAAAGTCCTGATTAGCCCACAAGAAGGAACAAACTAGCTAGCTAGATGCATGCTGCTGATGCCAGCCAGAGGTACATTGAGATCAAAAAGAAACTGCCTGCTCCTTGACGCAAGGCAGGATAGATAGTGACTGAATGCTTGTGTTGTGCATTGTTCTACCTCTGTCCTTCAAAACTGTATATAAGCTGGCTGTGAAATAAACTTGGGGCTGTTGGGCATTGACCGGCAGACCTCTTGACTCTTCTGTCTTTTTCATTGTCCCTTCAATCTGCATGCCTCTACCCAACTACCTAGCTGACTGTCGGCAAGCCTGACATAAAACACATTATACACATGTGTACAGAAAAGTTTAAGAACTTTTTATTTTTTGTTTCTCTCAACCTGATAATTTTCAAGCAAGGATGGAATAATAAAGGAAAATATAAGACCAAGAAAAAGTGCCAGTCTTCATATTGACAGTCCTGTTTCCTCCTGTACAACAGAGAGAATTATCTTCCCATGCTGCACCCTTCTGCTGAGTGAGGTGTGACCGACAGCTGAGCCCAGGAAGGTTATGACCTTGCTTGCTAAATCCCTAAATTAAAGCCGAATGCTAGGAAAGTGTGTACTGAGATATGCGTAGGGTTTTTTTTGTTGTTTTTTTTGTGGGTTTTTTTTTGTTGTTGTTGTTTTAATGAAACTGCTTAAAAGGTCTTTTCATTTTTGTTCTGTTTCAATCTAATTATTTTTAGGAAGTTATTAATTAATTTGATAGAACAAGCATTAACCAGGAAAATAGTCTTCTCAACTTAACCATCAGTGTAAGAGTCCGTGCATCCCCCAGAGAGGAGAGGGGAAGATTGGAGACCATGAATAAAATTCTTTTCAAGCAGCGTGTGCTACTTTTTCTGATAGCAGGGGCACTAGGGAATCAAATACTCCATTTAGCATCTGATTAACCTAAGAGCACACCAAAGCTTTCCAGAAGTTTCCGTGTCTTCTGTGAAGCCCGTTCTGGATCTTTGATAATCCATAATAAAGCACCTCATCAGAGATCTATTTTAAGATTAGCGCTGTCATTTGCTAAACTACCGTAGGAATGGAGAGCACACAGCCATTTAGTTTGCAAAACTCAATGTGGCTTCTGTTGCCATCTCCTCAGTGAGAAAATCCCCTCAGGAGTCAGATACCAAATTAGCTGCACTTAGAAAACAGTCGGTTACTTCCACACCTCCCCTCAGATCCGTAAACACTCAGAATCCTAACCAAGAGTACCATGTAGCCAGGGACCCACAGCAAACAGCAAAGATCACAGTGGCTCCTTTTATTGGAGTAAATGTTTATTTGTGCTGAAAAGAGATGTGGTCAGCGCAATTTGGGGCCAACAAATCATAATTTTCAAAGGGTGCTTGCTGAGATTTTCTTGCTCGATTCAAGCATATTTTTGCCTGGACCTAAGTTAGGTGTTTTTATACTTGCAGCTCTCCACCCCTCCCCCTCTCCCTTCCTCTCCCTTTCTTTTCGTACAAAGAACTTGATGGAAAATGTTTCTTCTTAAGTTCTTCCATGTAAATATTTACTCTCAGTTTGGCATCTGATAAATACACTGTTAACCCTTGTCCCTCAAAATTATCCCTAAATTAAAGCCGAATGCTAGGAAACACAAAGTCTTTTTTATCCAGGACTTCCTTCAGTTTGCCCAGGCTCCCACTCCATAAACATAAGCTGTTTTTCCTCAATTCAAGAAGCAAGCAGGAAATCTCAGTTTCCATCCTCCACAAAATTAGAGAGGAAAGGTCATTTTGTGCAGCCTTCTCACTGTGAGATGACCAGAGAGGTTAGAACGCTTGCCGGGCACTGCCTCGTCTCTCTCTAACAGACTTGTAAGAGGCCAGCCCTGGTGAATACCTGGATTTTATTTTTCTACCGCTGCCTCTGCCTTTGGAGGAGGGCACTCCTGCCATACTACTGGCATCTTAGATGGAGTAATTCACTGTTGCATGGGAACAGATGTTTAACAGTGTCCTTGACTGAAAACCACTAGACATTGGCAGCATTCCTGATGCTCACAGCTGCAGCAGTGAGAAACATCTCACATGTTGAAAAATGTCACCTGCAGGGTTGAGACCCACTGTCCTGGCAGATAATTGCAGGGACAGGCCTAGCTTAAATCCTCCCTTTCCCACCCACCTCTCTGCATACCCTAGTTCGTAGCGCCCTGTTTTCTGATCATGGGACTTAGTGTCACTACATTTCTACCATCTTGTTTGGTGTTATATCATTTCTTGTATTACTGTTTTCAAAAACATATTTGAAATGTCCTAGTTAGCATCTGATTTAATCATGAAGGTTTAATGGTGTCTGGGAAAGCTATGGCATGCCATCTGGGCATGATGCAGCAAGTGCTGTCTTAAACTCACTGCCTACACTGGGCCTGTCAACAGTCACTTGTGAATGAGGGAGGGGATCACAGGGTTCACCTCTCCCTGACAAAGGTTCTGGAAGGGTGGAAGTCACTGTCTTCAGTTGCGTTCTCGATGGTGACCTCACCGAGCTCTCTGATGCATCGTCCCAAACTCATGGTCACACAGATGGCACCAGTTAAACTCAGTGGGTAACAAAACAAAGCAAAAAGTCAGTAATGTGAAAGGGGTACTTGTAGGGAAGAGGTGGTTGACGGGGGTCGAAGGTGATAGGAATTAGAATGTGTTTTATACATGTAGAAAAATGTCAACGACAATTTAATTAACAAAAAAAGAAGAAAAAGATTCAAATAATACGTTGTGTATTATTCCCCTGATTAGACTAAAAGTACTGTGGAGAAGGAAATCAAGATGCAACATATCTACTCACTGGGTTTCTACAACATGGTTCACAGATGGCTGAAATTCACTGAAAGAATCTGTGACTGTTTAGCTGAGTCGGTATTTTCACAGAGCCACTATGCTCAGTGAATTTTGCAAACATTTGAGGTTCTTTCCTTAGTTGTCAAATGAGACACTTTTATTATCCTGATGGAATGCTTTCTAGTATTTACATGCATCCTTATTGTACAAAAAAAGGTTTCTAGAAAATAGGTTAGCAGAGACATGATGGTGGTGGGCATGCACATCCCCATTATCTCCTTCTTGGCCACCACAAGAAGAAGCACCATGCTGCACTGTGCCCTTGCACCATGGTACTCTGCCTCATCTCCGGCCCAGAAGCCAGCCAGTCATGTGCTGTCACCGGAGACAATGAGCCAAGAAACCAACATCCAAACGAAACATGCCCCACCCATCCACATAAAATCCTTCCTCCTTTTAAATTGTTTCTCTAGGGTACTTGTCTCAGTCATGAATAACACAATGGAGGTGGCAGAGACTACCCTACCTATAGTTACAAGCACCACCATAGCCACGAACCTCAGCATTCTTGGAGAGTTGTGGCATGGCTCTATAGGTTTATATCCAACGATTCAATTCTAGACATAGTTTTGTTTCCACTTTGCTCATGAAGAAATGAAGGCAAAGAGAGGTAGAGTTGTTGTGCCCAAGTTCACAGAAACAAGAATGGTAAGTACAGGAAAACAGGCAGCCAGCTCAGCACATACAATATCGATCACGATATTGTATGTCACTTCTCACAATCAAGTAGCCACTCTCTTCAAAAAAGAAAATAATAATTGGCTCGCCAATTTTACCCAAAGTTCAGAGCAAATGGTTTCCAAAAGTATTTGATTGATTTCATGTGCCAAAGAGTATACAGTCACACCACTGTGAATGAGCCCAATCCCAGCTGACCCTGGAAGCCAACAGGGTCAGGCCTGATTCATTGTGGAATGGGAGAAATTTTGGAACCAAAGAACAGGAACCCTTTTCTTTGGCGCTTGTTTCTGGTTTTAGGTTTGCTTATTTTATTTTATGTGCATGAGTGGTTGGCCTACATATGTGTCTGTGCACCATATGCATGTTTGGCTCCCTTGGAATTCAGAAAAAGGCATCAAATCCCCTGAGACTGGAGTAATAATAGTTGTAAGCCACCATTAGGTGCTGGGAATCAAATCTGTGTCCTCTTTAAGAACAATGAGTACTCCTTACTGCTAAGCCAGCTCTTTGGAGCTTTAAAGCAATACATACCTATAAACACCTCCTGTGTGCCAATATATGCAACCACTAGCCCCTGCACCAACTGTTCCCAGAGATGCTCACCCACTCAAAAGTTTACAGGACACTGGCAACAAAAGAGATGAGCTACTTCTGGTCCAGAGGCTACATCTTGGATTACCTGGGCAGCTATGCAAAAATCTCATCTCCAGACCAAGCAAATCAGGTGTGTGTGTGGGAGGACATGGGGGTGGATGGTGCTACCTGAAAATGCTATTGCAATGAGCCCATTGTGGTGATACTGTGTTCCCCCAAAATATTGTGTACCCTAATAAACTTATCTGGGGTCAGAGAACAGAACAGCCACTAGATATAGAGACCAGAAAATGGTGGCACACATGCCTTTAATCCTAGCATCCAGAGGCAGAGATCCATCTGGATCTCTGTGAGTTCAAAGCCACACTGGAAACAGCCAGGTATGGTAACAAGAGCCTTTAATCCCAGGAAGTGATGGCAAGAAACAGAAAGGTATTTTAAGGCATGAGGACAAGGAACTAGGCCTGGTTAAGCTTTTAGGCTTTTGAGCAGCACAGTTAGGCTGAGAGGCATCCAGTCTGAGGAAACAGGATCAGCTGAGGAACTGGAAAAGTGAGGTGGCCGTGGCTTGTTCTGCTTCTCTGATCTTCCAGCATTCACCCCAATACCCAGCTCCAGGTTTGTTTTCATTAATAAGAACTTTTAAGATCCGTGCTACAGCCCATGCTAAGGAAATCCCAGGTTATAGACACAGTCTGCCTTGAATAGCAGAATGAGAAAATTCTTAAGTCTTCCTAATTTTCCAAAAATGCTTTTCTGTTGTGAAACAGATTGTTCCAGGTTGTTGGGAATAATCTCACTCAATAAATCCTTAAGAATAGGTTGATAGACAAGACAAAATTATTTGGGAGAAGGGGTGCGGTAAGCAGTCAGAAGTACTTGTGATGCTGTGATGGCCAGTTAGCACCCAGGGCATGCTGTGATGGCCAGTTAGCACCCAGAGCATGCTGTGATGGCCAGTTAGCACCCAGGGCATGCTGTGATGGCCAGTTAGCACCCAGAGCATGCTGTGATGGCCAGTTAGCACCCAGAGCATGCTGTGATGGCCAGTTAGCACCCAGGGCATGCTGTGATGGTCAGCTAC